TGTTGACCAGGATGGTCTCGATCTCTTGACCTCGTGATCCACCCTCCTTGGCCTCCCAAAGTGCTGGGATTACAGGCTTGAGCCACCGCGCCCGGCCCTATTTATTTATTTTTAAGACAGGGTTTCACTATATTGGCCAGGATGGTATTGAACTCCTGACCTCGTGATCCACCTGCCTCAGCCTCCCTAAGTGCTGGGATTACAGGCATGAGCCACCACACCTGGCTATAAAGCCCTTATTGTGTGCTAGGCCCTGTTATAACCATGAATATGTATCAACTCTATCAATCTTCCAGTAACTTTATGGGGAAAGTGCCATTATTATCCCTTAATTACACAGATGAGGAAACTGAGGCACGGCTTCTGACTTCTCACACCTGGTTGAGAATCCCCTGGGAGGCTCTGAGATTCTGGGGCACCCCCGGGAAGCTGCAGCAGCCATCAGGTGACACATAGTGAGGCCTGGCCACGAGGGTCCATAGGGCCGTGGGGCCCTCCTGAGCCCTGGAGACCTGAAGGCCATGCAAGCGTTCTCCCTCACATCGCTCTCTTATTTTGCCTAGCTGCCCCCCAGCTGCCTGCACCCCTGGACAAGGCCAAGGCAGAAACCCGGACCCCTGGTGATCCACTGGCCCTGGCCTCCCAAAGGGCTGGGATTACAGGCGTGGGTTACCACACCCGGCCTAAATTCTGAGGCCGCCTGCAGGCCTGGGCCTGCTCAGTCCCCAGAGCTCCTCTGGCGCTGTTTCCAGCCCCTGCAGATGCAGATAAAATTAGGCCTGGAAGGCGAGAAGCCAGTTCAACTTCCCAGACTGGGACAGTGACAGTGTCCCCAAGGCAGTGCTGGGAAGGGCAGCCCCAAGCAGATGGGGAGCTGGGGTCAGAGGTGGGGGGCTGGGTCTAGACTGAATCGTCTAGGCTGAATTGTAGGTGACCTCAGGCAAGTCCCCGTCGTTAAGGTGGCCAGAGAGCAAATGAAATACCAGATGGCCAGTTACATTTGAATTTAACCCCACATGACTCAAGTCTCAGTGGGGTCCTGTGTTTTGTGTGGCAGCCCTCCCTGCAGCTCCAGGCCTGTTTCTTCACCTGTCAAGCCGGGTGTACATGCTGCCTGCCACATTCACTGGGGGGGGTCCCCCCCGCTGTGAGGCTCTGGGGAGACATCACCGCCTCACTCATTCCACACACATGGCTGCGCTCCTGCTCTGGGCCAGGCACAGACCTGGCTAGTGGGGTGAAGCGGGAGCAAAACCAACAAAAACCCTTGATGGTAACGGATAGACAGCTAACATTTTTTATCTTTTATTTTTTGAGATGGAGTCTCACTCTTGTCGCTCAGGCTGCAGTGCAATGGCGCGATCTCAGCTCTCACTGCAACCTCCACCTCCCAGGTTCAAGCAATTCTTCCTCAGCCTCCCGAGTAGCTGGGATTACAGGCATGCGCCACCACGCCCTGCTAATTTTGTATTTTTAGTAGAGACGGGGTTTCGC